TACAACAAGGACTCCTGAGTTTCTGGGGTTGAATAATGAGCTCGGCCTTTGGGCTGGTCACAGTCCACAGGAACTCAACAACGCTGCTCAGGATGTTGTTATCGGAGTTCTTGACACCGGCGTTTGGCCGGAGTCGAAGAGCTATAACGATTTCGGTATGCCCGATGTGCCGTCGAGGTGGAAGGGTGAATGTGAATCGGGTTCCGATTTCGATCCGAAAGTACATTGCAACAAAAAGCTGATAGGTGCTCGTTTTTTCTCCAAAGGTTATCAAATGTCGGCCTCTGGCTCGTTCACGAACCAACCTAGACAGCCGGAGTCACCTCGTGACCAAGACGGTCATGGCACCCACACATCCAGCACCGCCGCTGGTGCACCTGTGGCGAACGCTAGCCTTCTCGGGTACGCTAGTGGGGTCGCGCGTGGTATGGCACCTCGAGCGCGTGTAGCTACGTACAAGGTATGCTGGCCTACTGGTTGTTTTGGTTCTGATATTCTAGCTGGTATGGAACGTGCTATTTTAGATGGAGTTGATGTACTTTCATTATCTTTGGGTGGTGGATCGGGTCCTTATTATCGTGATACAATTGCTATTGGTGCTTTCTCTGCTATGGAAAAAGGAATTGTTGTTTCCTGTTCAGCTGGAAATAGCGGTCCAGCTAAAGGCTCACTTGCAAATACAGCTCCTTGGATCATGACCGTTGGTGCTGGTACCATAGATCGTGATTTCCCTGCATTTGCTACTTTAGGTAACGGGAAAAAAATTACCGGAGTTTCGTTATACAGTGGAAAAGGAATGGGTAAAAAGGTAGTTCCATTAGTTTACAGCACAGACAGTAGTGCAAGTCTTTGTTTGCCGGGTTCACTTGACCCGAAAATGGTCCGAGGGAAAATAGTGTTATGTGATAGAGGGACAAATGCGAGAGTAGAAAAGGGTTTAGTAGTGAAGGAAGCTGGTGGAGTTGGGATGATATTGGCTAATACGGCGGAGAGCGGCGAGGAATTGGTGGCGGATAGTCATTTGTTGCCGGCGGTAGCTGTAGGTAGGAAATTGGGAGATTTTATAAGGCAGTATGTAAAGAGTGAAAAGAATCCGGCCGCCGTGCTCAGCTTTGGTGGGACGGTGGTGAATGTGAAACCGTCGCCGGTGGTGGCTGCGTTTAGTTCAAGAGGGCCCAATACTGTAACTCCACAGATTTTGAAGCCCGATGTTATTGGGCCTGGAGTTAATATTTTGGCTGCTTGGTCTGAGGCTATTGGGCCCACTGGGCTTGAAAAGGATACCAGAAGGACCAAGTTCAACATCATGTCTGGTAAGTATTACCAACAACGGCTAGTTTCTTAATTTAATCTTTTTCATGCTTAGCTTAATTATGGCCTTAATTATATTTTTATTAGATCTCGCAATTATTAATACTAACCGTACACACTTAAAAAGGAAAAGAGGAACGCGTAGAATAAAGACACCTGTGGGTGATCTGGAATTATGTACTATGCACATTCCTAAACTTTAGAGGGGTTCACATGTGTAGCATTGATAAGTTAATCCTAAATTACATTAGTTATAATTAAATATTAATGCAGTTTCCAAGAAAATAGATGGACTAAAATTTAGACTTATTTGTATGATGTGACGTGTGGAATTAAATTTAAAAACTGCCCAAGCCTATATCAAATTTATGGCTAAAATAGCAAGAAACGTCCCTTTAATAGGCACAGAAGAAATCCAAGAGGGGCTCGCTGTAGGAGTGTTAAGAGTTTCGATATGAACAAGGTCTAGAGAAGAATTTATTAATTAATTTCAATAATATACGCTAATGGTATTTGAAAACAATATATTGTAATTTATCGTAACAAGTTACTAATTTCGCTTATTATAGACCATTATTGTGAAGTTATTTCTATAGATAAGCCAATAGCATAAAATTCATCCGTCGGAATGTGCAAGGTGTAGTGGTAGGAGTGCTACTCATGATGTGACAAGTGCATGTCACGGGGTTTGAATCATAATGCAAACAAAAGCCTGATATGTTAGTGAAAAATGATAGAGGGACGGGTTCATTATTCACACAAAAGCTTGATATTTAAGTGAAAAATGATAGGGGAACGAGTTCATTATCCAAAGAGTTTCGAACCTAACCTTACACCATGGCCCTTCTTGGTATAATTTACACTAGTTTTATGAGGCTCCTTTTTGTCTCACAAATTTGTGGATCCCAATCTTACACTTCTGGGTCCACAAAATTGTGAGACAAAAAAGTTACCTCATACAACTAGTCTCGGTTGTGACTAGTTGTATGAGACACAAAATAAAATTTTCCGAAAAAGTAGTATGGTCTGTCTTCCGCTATGAGACTAGTTGTTTGAAACACAAAATAAAATTTTCCGAAAAAGTAGTATCGTCTGTCTTCCACTAGTGGGTCCTGGTCCCCTTGGAATCCCAGATTATTGGTCCCTACATAACTATAAAGGTCATAACCTTATCATGGATTTAACATCAACCCTTTGCCCCATCTGAGCACTCTGGACCTACCTTAATCACTTTATTGGCTGGAAATAAGTTGATGAACTTTTTGAATTTTTCTTGAAAAAACAACAACAAAAAACCACTTGTGATCCCACAAGTGGGTCCGGGGATTAGTGTGTTATAAAGAGGATGTTTCGGATAGACTTTCGGCTTAGGAAAGATCAATAAAGTAGTAGAAACAAGCAATAACAATAGCAAAATACTGAATTTTTCTTGAAAATCCTACACAAATCTCATACTTTGAAAATTGTATTTTGTTACATAATTTGATCATTTTTCACTTCGAACTCTTGTAGGCACATCCATGTCCTGTCCTCATATCAGTGGCCTAGCTGCACTGCTGAAAGCAGCACATCCTGAATGGAGTCCAAGCGCGATCAAATCTGCACTTATGACGACTGCCTATGTTCGCGACACCACCAACTCTCCTCTCCGCGACGCTGAAGGTGGCCAACTCTCCACTCCTTGGGCTCATGGATCAGGTCATGTTGATCCCCATAAGGCACTTTCCCCCGGTCTAATCTATGATATTACCCCAGAGGACTACATCAAATTCTTATGCTCCTTGGACTATGAGTTGAACCACATACAAGCCATTGTCAAGCGCCCGAATGTCACTTGTACTAAGAAATTTGCAGATCCTGGGCAGATTAACTACCCTTCATTCTCAGTTTTGTTCGGGAAATCAAGGGTTGTTCGTTACACCCGTGCAGTCATCAATGTAGGAGCTGCAGGATCCGTCTATGAGGTGACCGTTGATGCTCCCCCGTCTGTTACTGTAACCGTGAAGCCATCAAAACTTGTATTCAAAAGGGTAGGAGAGAGGCTGCGTTACACCGTTACATTCGTGTCAAAGAAGGGTGTTAACATGATGAGAAAGAGTGCATTTGGCTCCATTTCTTGGAATAATGCTCAAAACCAAGTTAGGAGTCCAGTTTCATATTCCTGGTCACAACTATTAGACTGAAAGGTTTTTCACCTTTAATCTAATGTTTTTATGGTTTTCCCTTTGATTTACCAACGAAATTGTGGTAATCAGATATGCAAATGGAAGTATTTTTAGTAATTGAGTGATAGGGAGGATGAAGTTTCTCCAAAGTTTAGATTTTCTTTTCCAAGTAAAATTATGCAATGAAATTATAGCCCTGCTATCTATGTCTGTGATGTAAAATAAGAGTGGTTTTCTAATTTAACAGATACTTTTGCGGTTCGTAATTGATTACTGAAAATGATGGGTTTTATCAACTGGTCTTTGACCTTCCAAAGAAGTTAATGTAATGGAAAAAAATTAAGTGAAACATAAGTGAACCTTCATATTAGTAATGGAAAAAAATTTCAAATATGTATATATAAATATGTATATATATATATATATGTAGGTAGTTGATCTTACGGGTGGGGTCGTTAACCAATTGCACCGTGTGAGCGAAATTACTATTCTAAAGATAGTTTCCTGTGAGCGAAATTACTATTCTAAAGATAGTTTCCTAGAAACGCCTTGTCTATGCGATCATTCCATATTTTTTGTTAAGATTATGTTGTGTGATTTTTATTTTGAATAGTTCTACAATAGGTTTATGGGCCTTGGGATCATAACTACAGATGAACAAGACATGCAACAGATTAAATGAAGATAAACAAGTAAAATAAACTCATTTGATCGAAAAGTTTTAGCATAAAGGGAGAACTTAAACGGGTAACGTAATGTTCATGATGGAGGGCGGGTCAAGAGAAGGATAGCTACTGAAGAGAGATGCACGTAACACCTTAAGTGAATCCCACATCAAAATGAAAGAAAAAAGTGAAAAATTTTATAAGACAATAACACAAATTCACATTGTATACACATTTCTAGGCTCGATCTGGCATACCATAAGGAACAAATATGTGAGACTTGTTGGGCCAAAACTAACAATACTACTAACCTTTTTACATTTGCACCATGATCTAGGAATTGATCCATTATTCAATACCACTTGAAAGGGAGGAATTTTCAGAGCCTAGTCAGCATAAAGACTAAGGGGTCGTTTGGTAAGATGCATAAGCAAAAATAATCCTGGGATAAGTTATCCGAGGATTAAAAATAGTACCGGAAATAACTTATACTAGCGAGAGGATGGAATAATAATTCCAAGATAAAGCAGTAAAACTGACAATTCCCAGATTAATACAACATACCAAACAATTAATAAGAAATAATACCAAGACAATTAATTCTAGCATAACTAATCCCAGTCTAACTTATAACTAATCCCAGAATAATTTATCTTCAAACCAAACGAGCCCTAAAAGTCCAGGTATGTTTTGGAGCCTTACTGAGCTAATTGGAAAAGGTGCAGCAGTTGCATAACCAAAAGGCAACATTTATGTAGCAACTGAATTTTACACTTTAGTACTTGTTCTAGGGGAAAAAAAGAAGAAAGCCAACAGTTATTATTTCTGTTTTGAGAGCATGAGGTGCCAACAACAAAGATATTCACAATTATATAGAACCAAGCTTTTATATAGGAATTATTGCATGATTTAATAGTACAACTAGCAACAAAGGTAGCAAGGACAGAAACAAGACTTTTTACAACAACAACTACAATTTAACTTTGGACATTTAGGATAAGAACATGTACATGGACTACAAGAGCAGCTTAAGCAAGAAGGCCATTTTAAGTTACAGCTGCAACAGCAACTCCATTTGCAACAGACAGGCTTGCTGCAGCAATTAGACGGCGGACACGAGAAACATTGACACTTAGGTATTGAGCAACAGCAACTGACAGATGAGCAGCAGTTACATATATGACAGTTACAGCAGTCTGGCATCTTTATATGAGAACACCGGCACCAGCAACAAATCCACGAAAGATTGAAACATGACGAGCCACTACAAGTGTCAAAGAAACTTATGTCACTGGGAGAAGTTACAATGATTAATCAATACATCTAATTACACAGAAGCTCTTGAGAACCAAATAAGCGAGTCTCATATGATCCCAATTGACACTTATACATGTAACCTCTTAATTGACATTCTCCTTGAAGAAAGATCAATGATGCTTTATCAGAACTCAGATTACTAGGCTTACAAACCATTTATGTGAACACAAATTTCACGAACGCAACAGTGAAAATGGAGCTAAACACTTGGTTTTTAGTGTATTCTTTTTTGCCAGTAAGAAATGCCTATGAAGGCTAGGTTCAAACAGCCAGACTATTAATAGCACACGAATATATCAGGGTCTATCGAAACCAAAAAAGCTTCCTCTTTTTTTGCATTTAGAAAAAAACCAAAATACTTCTTCATGGAAAGACCTTATTGCCAAAACTAACTTTCATGAGAGTGAAGCAAGAGCACAATCCTCAAAAATATGAACCAGTGGCCACTGAAGCGCAACTGCCACTAACTTTGGTTATTATTTCCTATTTATTCTTCTATCTTATGCGCTACCAATAAAGTACTTGTTCCTAACAGCATGCTAATACTTAAAATTATGAGAAATCATCTGCCACGTCGAAGCACAGTTGCAACTAACCTTGGTTACTATTTACCTTCTAATCTTCTAGCTTATGACCCACAAAGGTATTGCTTCTTCATAAAAATCTGAATAGATTATGCACAACAGGATGCTAAACTTTTATCTAGAAGAAAACCTAAGAATCTTTCATAGTCATGTATAAAAAGTTTCTGATGTTTAAGTTTTCGTCCTCTCATGCAGTTAATGTCAAAATAATCACTCACTATCTCTTAAATTGGTATATGAATCTCACATTAATATATCAATATAGAATCATGAATAGTAATCATATTTAGTGTTTAGTATAACCCAAAAATATAAGCTTATAACTTAGCATACCAGAGCCTTTTCCAAAAGCAACAGGACCTCCGACTCTTCTTTATTCTGAAATGAGGGTTAAAGGCAATGAGAAAGTGTAAAATTTAAGACTACAATTACACTTAAAATTTTGTAGAAATGATTGTAGAATACTTTCTTACGTTGGTATAAGAGGATCTGAATGTTCCAACACAAAATCTGTCACCCTGTCAAATGGTCAAACATCATTCAATACAAAGGAACATGCATAAATTCATTGCACATGACTTCAGTAGTACAGGGCATGTGGAAATAAATGCACATGTCGAAAATAGGCTCAGTACATACTCTTTACAGGATCGAGAAGCGGGTTGAAGGCCTTCAATGGATTTTAGTTCTTCCTGCTCATAAGAATTTGAATTGAGACGAGACGAACAAAGTGAAAATAACTTCATGCAGAAATATCTAAAGCAAGTCATTGTATCATTAAAGATACTTCACATTCATCACAGCAAAGTACAAACCAGTTTACTGTAAAATATCCAATATATTCTTCTCTAGTAGTAAATTATATAACATCAAGAACACATCACATTACAATTGTCATTAATCTTAGTTTTCAATCTAATTCATTTAAGCTTTTTTTTACCCCAACAATGAAACTAATGACATTCTTTTCAAGATTATATGCATGTTAAAAACAAGGTTATTCTGCAACAGATAATTGTTAAACCGCTCCAATTTCTATAGGTAAAAATGATAAGCAACCCGCTTAGACTGCTAAACCTGATGCAGTATGATACTTCATTAGTGTGACCATAGATTTCATCTATTTTCTTTTCCCTATTTTTCTGTCATCTTTCATGGGAGCAGTAGGACGAGGCGAGGGGCGGGATGAAGGGACGGAGCTAGCCTTGAAGATAGCGGTAACCCGAACTCACTAACTTTGGTTCATACCTTAAAGAACAAGAATGTACAAATTAAGAAATCCTTGTGTTTGACTTAAGAAATCCATTTAGTATGTACAAATTATCAATTTAGAACCCAGTAACTTAAAAGAACAAGAATTCTAAACCCATAAGCTTCAAATCTTGTCTCGCCTTCGGCGGGATGGGCCCACCAAATGTAAGAAGATGGAAACACATTACTTAGTTTGGAAGCTGTTAAAAACATGAGATTCCAAAGTTTCAATATGGAAGTAAATTTAATTGATATGTTGACTGGAAAAAAGACACGAGCATCTAAACAGGGAAAATATTGGTTTGCATTCAACTTAACCAAAGCTTTAAGTTAATCCTCCAACAGTAAGCACTCAAACTTATAAAACAAATGGGTTGGCAGAAAGTCTAAGCACCCTATTTAAGAGAATCTTGGATCATTTTTGTTCATTTTAATTAATTACTCACTTCAATTAGCATGTCAGGTTCCATGTCTTTTCAAAATTTTATGGCACTAATTAATTTAAGTGGTCCACTAATTCTATATTACTCTGCACAAAGTTCAACCTAAAATAGTTCAAATTAGCACATGGCAGTAATTAAGCAAACATAGAATATTAGTAAATTACAAATATGCTCCTCACTTTGATATATCCCAACAAAGATTTAACTAAGGCTAATGTGAAATAACAATCAAATTAAACAAAGATTCAGCTCTTAACCCTCATTAGCAGGTAATCTACTGCTTTTTTTTCTTCATCTCAAGAACAAGTATGAAAAAAACCAAAAACAGGGGTTAAGTAAAAGATACTAATACAGAAAGACAACAACTTTAATGCTTCGAACAACATTCTACACAAGAAAACTGACCTCAAGAAAACCAATTTCTCTTTCGAGCATTTGAACTTTGGCGAATTCGCGACGCTTTCCATATAAATCAGGATACTGAGGTGGTGATTTTGGGCGAGGTGGTGGCAAAGATGGCACTGAAGCAGTTCTTCTTGAACCAACTCCTGCCATTTTTATTTCACCACCAAAAAACCAACACTGATTTCTACATATAAAAATAAAAGGGGTTTCTCTAATTTACCAAACTACTTGAGAGTATCTAAGAAATACAATGAACTTAATTACCAAGGTTCAGAGTTGCAAATGGGCAAACAACAAAGGACACTAAAGACTTAATAATATTGAGAGTTTGCAGTTTTGCAGTCTTCAGTAGTACTATAGTTGTTATAATGTCTTTGCTGACAGAAATAACATATTAAAGTTTTTTCCTTTCTTTATTTTCACAAATGTATAACAACAACAAATTAAATGGATTCCCACAAATAGCGTCTGGAAAGGATTGTAGGTACGCAAAACTTATAATTACCTTGAAAAAATAAAGAGGTTGCTTTGGTGAGACCCTCCGCTAAAAAAAATAAAAAAGAAATAGTGACATCAAACAATAACAACTGCAAAATATTAAAAAAGCCGAAGTGAAAAATAACAATTATATACCCACAAAATGGGGCCTTGAGTAAGAGGCGGGCCAAAGAGTAAGAAAATTAAAGAATGGGGAGGGGGCGTGAAATTAAGGAAGAAGGTGAAAGAGGAGAAATTATTATTACTACAGACTACAGAGTTACTACTACTGATGCTTGGGATAATTAGGAGGGGGTGGGGTGGGTNGGACCCCAAAACTAATGAGAAATAACAACAACCAAGAAAGAGCAGCAGCTGCCAGTAGTGACAGAAGTATCAGTACAACAATCCATTCATTCACACATACACATCATAATAGTAAGAGTAGTAATTATAGTAATGAAGCAAGAAAGACAGCCTGATGGATTAAGCTCTCGTTATGTGTGAAGTTCGGAGAAGGATCAGATCACAATAATTTATTGTATGTAACTTTATTTTGTATTTCTGCAACAGTCTATTTCTACAGCTCGAATCGTAATTTTATAATCACATAACAATAACTTTATTAGTTACGTCAAGACTCCGTTAGCACCCCTTCTATTATAGTAATGAATAAAATGTATATATAAAAGGAGGGTAGAAATGAGATAAATGCTCTTTCTATTAAATTTCATTTATTTATCCTCATGCAAACTTTCAAGTTTTCATTTAATGATATTAAAAACAGACTCCTAAGATTCTACTATTTTCTTTTTTCAAGATTTCTTAGATATTTTGCTTTAAGTGAAGAGTAAATAGAAGAGCTAAAAAGGGTGTAATAATTATTACTGCAGTGATGAGTCTGTGAAGACAAATCCTCTTTTCTGGACAATGATAATAGAGAAAAAGATGTACACAGAGTCTATGATGATGCTACTAGTAAAAAAAAAGGCTGCAATTAGTATTGGTTTGAAGGACATCTTGATGTTGAAGTAAGAGCCTTTTTATTGTACTAGTAGTAATTTCTTCTTTCTTTCAAGTAGGACCGATGACGAGCTTTGGAGCAACAATAAAGTTGTATTTGTACGACATGTATGTTACAAGTTTGAATTGTAAAAGCAACTAATAATGTTTTTATTAGGGTAGACACTCTAGATTATATTTTTTAATATACGGCATTCCCAAAAACCTGTATAAATATAGAATACTTTATGCACCAGGCTACTCTGCTCTTTACCGTAGTATTTATGTGACATGAATTCAAATCGTGAAATCAGTTAGTAATACTTGCGTTAGAATAGATGGCTTACAGTGGTAGAATCAAAATTTTTATTATATGGGTTCTGAATTTTAGTTTGACGATTTCAAATATTAATATATGGGTCCTAAATTAAATATATATATATATATATATATATATTTTTTTTACATATTTAATNGTTGCAGAGAGGAGCAGAGAGTGGGTCTGTAGGTTGTGTTGGGAGGGCCGAAAAGCTCAAAGTTAATGGGCTCAGACCGCACGTGACGGTCGCGTAGGATAGAGAAAAAATAGACACAGTAAAAATGAGAGCAGCAGAGTATTAAGGAGGATTTGACTGTGCTGTTTTACTGAGTACGCTCATATCCTCGTTTTCAAAGTAAATTGGGAAAATCTTAGGAAACTCCTCTTTGCCCGTCAAAATTGACACCACAATAACAACAATTCAGTAAAATTTCATTAGTGAAATTTGGAAAGGATAGTGTGTACGTAAATTTTACCATACCCCAAAAGAGTAGAGAGGCTGTTTCCGAAAGACTCTCGGCTCAACAAAACAAAAAGACAAAAGAAGACAATATTAATAACACCACAGAAATAATATGAAAAAAATAACAACGTGAAATAAGAAGAATGATACAAAGCAGAAGCAAAAAAGTATCCATGCTAAACAAGTTCACAAAGTTATGACATAAGACAAGACTCAACTGCCTCCTAACCTATAACTCTAATACTCGACTTTCATATGTTCCTATCAAGTGTCATGTCATCAGAAATCTGAAGCCAAAATTGACACAACTAATTCTAATAATTTTGACTTTATAATGATTAAATTATTATTTACGAGACGCAGTTCGACCAACCACATAAAATGAAATAGTACAACAATAACAAATAACAATAAATTTAGTGTAATTTTATAATTGACGTCTTAGGAGGATAATGTGTACGTAATCATTATTCTTACCTTGTGAAGGTAGAAAGACTAAAGGACAGCCTGATGCACTAAGCTTTCGCTAGGCACGGGATTCGGACAGTGGCTGGGCCACATGCATTGAAGGAGGGGTCAACCGACACCCCTTAGTCGAAAAATTATACGGTATAGTTTTAAAATATGTATATATACTATGTATTGACATTCCTTGACTTCTTGGTGAATTTATTTCTTATTTTAACCTCCCTTTATAAAAATTCTAACTCCGCCACTGGATTCGAGGCAGGGCCGGCTGGAGCCTAAGGCCACCAAAGCAATGGCCTTAGGCCTACAAAATATTCGGGGGCCCAAAATCTATAAATAATATATNTTAAAATAGTTATACTAAAAGTTTTACACATTTTAAATTGTAGCGACTAGTTGTTTCAGTTCATCCCAACGTAAATCGATCGTCTTACAATGTTAGTTTAGAATGATTTCTCTTAATTTTTTGAGTGCTATCGTAAATTATTTTTTACTTTAATAAGTAACTATTAAAATTCGTCCTTAACATTGAATGATTCTTGATATATAGTACTTACTACAATAACATTTATTTCAACTTACATTTAGAATTAAAGTGCTAAGAGAAACTATATAAGTAGAAGAATACTCTAATTGGAAAACCCAATAAAGTAAAAAGTGTTAATTCAATTACCGTTAATAATTTCTATATTATTTTTTATTTTCGCCTTAGGTCCCATATTATATTGAGCTGCCCCTGTTCGGGGAAGGGCTAGACCACAAGGGTCTATTGTAAGTAGCGTTACCCTGCATTTTTACAAGAACAGTTTCCACGGCTTGAACCCGTAAACTCCTGGTCACATGTCAGAAACTTTATAAGTTACGCCAAATCTTTCATCTGAAGGTAGAGAGACTATTTTCAATAAATACTCGACCGGAGAAAAGCAGGGAAGGAATAATTTTAATAGCTTAACAATACTATTTGCTTTTGAACATTGATATGAAAAAAAGGCTAAGTTGTGTAACTCATATTGTCAGTCGAAGTGGACTTCGGTTCCTTTTTTTTTTTTTTTTTTTTTTTTTTTTTTTTTTTTTTTTTTTTTTGAAGAACGGAGGTTGAATTCACATTAAAATTCGTATTAAAATTCACATATTTTAAAACTATACTTTGCAAGTCATGCTGTGTGTTATTTTTTTCTTTCTATTTTTTTGTTGCTTTTTTGCTTTTGAGCAGAGGGAATAATTTGATTTGGAGATTCTGTAACGGTGTAAACAAGTACACAGAAAATGGAATAATATGTAAATTTTGGGTAAAAAGAAAAAAAAAATATTTTAAAAAAGCCTCCAACTAAAAAGAGATGCAAAATAGTTGTCGTGTAGTTCTGAGAGAAAAAACATAAAATTTAGTGACGGAGGTGACAGTAAACAGAACCTAAGCCTTTCTGTAAGGTGTGTTTAGTAAGCTCAAGTCACGTCATCTCTCACAATGACTCAGATAGTCAGAAACCTTTCTGTCACTTTTATTTTTTATTTTTATTTTTTTCCCAGACAATAATTTTATTATTATTTATATTTTTTGGTTTTGGTAAATAAGAATTTGACTTTTCTTTTTGTCAAGTAAAATATTCTCCCATCAACGGCACCATTATATTATATCTTTGGCGTTTCAATCAAGTTTTGTTTAGTTTGAACCTTTGATAAAGTTTTGAGAAATAACTATAAGAAAAAGAAAAAAAAAGGATCAACATAATGATTTTTGGAGAATTTAGCATGTGAAAACTACTAACCGATTGAGTAAATTTCTCAAATATTCACTAGGTTAGTGAAATTTTGTAGTAAAGTACTTTATATTGGTCAAAATCTAACCGTCACGGTCGAGATGACCAACGTCCCATCTAAGTGACCGGGCAGTGAAAGATAACATAGCCCATTCTACATCCCTTTCCCGACATTCGTCGAGTCGGAAAGAGTAGTGCCTAAAAAAGGATGACCAAGACACACTGGAGGCAAGAGAGCGTCGGACCAAGTAAAGGGTAAGGGTGCCTTGACTATATATAGTAAGGGAAAACCTTCGATTAAAGGAGGCTCCTCCCCCCTTTCTCTCTCCCAAGCTCTCTTCTTGTAATCTTAATAGGAAAGAAGTAATCTACAGAAGAACATGTAAAACTATCCCCCCCCCCTTTCTCTCTCCCAAGCTCTTTCTTGTAATCTTGATAGGAAAGAAGTAGTCTATAGAAGAATATCTAAAGCTATCCCCCCATCGATCGATGGGAGTTAAAATGTTGAATTTCAATAAGATCGTTTATATTTTTTTCGTCCTATATATAATCCATATTATTAGCTCTTTGATCTGAAATTTATTATGACTGACTAAGATTTACCCCTTCATTTTCTTTGATTGATTTGTTCAAAAAGGTTTCGATATCTTTTGAGTGAAATAATTTGGCACCGTCTGTGGGGATTTCTTAGTGAAATTTCCTAGTCTCTCCCAAATCAAAGACAAGAAATACGATCACCCACCGAAAAGAGTGCGAAGGAAAAACCCAACCCATGCGAGACAAAAGCACAACACGGTAGGGGGAGGAGAGCCGAGTAGAATTGCCAAATTTAGAAATCTTCGCCCCATCAATCATCGAAATGCCAAACAAGACGAACAACATTACCAACATGTTCTCCCCCATTGGACCACCGGGTAGGGGCAAGGAAAGTGTCATTTTAACTTACCTTCTGCTCCTTGCTCAAGAAGCAACACAAAAGCCGCGCGGACAAGCGAGTAAAG